CTCCAAGCCCTGTCCAACCTGGCCTTGGACACTTCCAGGGATCCAGGGGCAGCCACAGCTTCTCTGGGCAACCTGTGCCAGGGCCTCATGAAGCTGAGTGTCCAAAACAATGTGTCCTGGCAAAACAGCCCCCCCAAGCTCTCCCCAGGCTGCACAAGAACTTACCAAAAGCTGCCACTGTCAGTGGTGATCCATCGTCTGTCGGGGTGGGCTCAGAGGAGTTCAGCGTGGGGGTGACAGGCTCTGAGGGGCCTACGGAGGGGAAAAAGGCACTTTACGTCAAAGTCCTCCTTCCAAGGTTGGGAAGAGCATTCCCAGCAATGCTAGAGGATTAATTCACACCTGTACTTTATTGAACAGACTGAGGTTGGATCCTGGCCAGGCCCATCAATGTTAACAGCAAAGTGACCAAGATCTGTGTGAAACCATTGCCTTGGTGAGGCACCTTTTATGGACTGAGAACACCCACAGGGCCCTGCTGGGACCCCAGGGAGGAAGCTGAGCGTGGCAGGTGAAGATCTGCCCTGGCAGTGTGATTGAGGGTGGAGTTTGTCTTTTCTACCTCCTTTTCCAGCCTTTTCCCATAATGGCACCCTTCTTGCTGAGACCCACACCTGCTGTTCCCAGGCTGCCCCCAAATGCTGCTTCTGCAGAGCTTTACAGGCATTTCAAGGGCTAGATGGGATGGCCAGCACCCCTCAGGGACTCGTGGGCTGTTCTCCTGCTGCCCTGAAGACAGAGGTGTGATGGCCTTGCTGCTGGCTGAGTAAAGGGCTGTAAAATCCATAGCAGGGATCACCTCTCTGGGAGGAGGGAACACCTTGAGGCACTGGTGTCGTGGTTCTCTCCCTTCTCGTGGGCTCTTGATCTGCAGAGAGAAACACAGAATGTGAGTCTTGTCCTTGAGTGTCATCTAATAACCAAAGGAATCAATGGGCACCTGGAGAGGAGAATGGAGTCACAGTAATGCTGGTGATACCTGGACAAACGTGGAATTCATGCTCAGGCTAAAAGCTTCCCACCAAACATACTTTGTACTGTTTCCCATGTCCAAACAGAAATCCAGGGAACCAAAATTCAAGTGCCCTTGTATAAACTCTGCAGGTTCTGCAATCCCAGGTGCGGGTTTTTGGCAGAAACACCAATGGGAGGCTGGAAGAGTGAACTGGGAAGATTATAGATTTTCTATAGCTCATAAACATTGAGACTTAAAAGAAAAATATCCACTTAGAGGAAGAAGTTTTGCAGAGTGTGGGTGTGGATTGACTGTTTGGCTTGTCTTTGGATTTGAAGTGGGTGGGTGTGCTGTCCTGGGTTATCTAGAAGAAGTTAAGCTCATTTGAGCTGGGCTAACTTGTATCCCACATGCAGTCTAGCTGTGGCAGCACAGAGGTTTGGCTGAGCAAGGACTCCAGTTCTGAGTGGGAGAAACTGGCTTGTAGGAAACTGTTTGGTTTGTGACAGCTGCTCCAGTGCCTGTACAAGGAAATTTAAAGCCAGTCCTTGTGTTTCACTTGTACAGAGAAAAAACATCCTTTGCTGCCTCCAGGCTGAGTGTTGAATGGCCTGAGTGTCTGCATCGACCTCAAGGAACAGCTGCAGGCCCTGCAGGTCAAGTAGGATCTTCTTCCTTCCTTTCCCATCCCCACCTTCCCAGCAGCAGCACTGGCCAAAAGTGTGTGGTGCCTGGAGGGGTGTGCACAGCTCCTGGCACTGCCCTGGGGTTCCTGTCCCACACAAAACATCACTGTTTTGGAATCTGATTTTGCCAAAAGCCAGAAGAAAAAAGGGGAAAGGCGTGAAATAACAAATCTAACTGGATCAGAAGCCATGTGGAGCAGAACAGTCTGGAGAAACAGAGACTCCTGCTGTACAGTTTTTTCACAGCTCATCACATTCTTTGTTTTATTCTGAAATTGTTCTTCTAGCCATGGGCAGAAGTTGTGGTTTGCTGAGCCTGGCACAGACACCCCATCCCTGGGAGATGCTGGGTCTCACACAACAGGAGATCTGGCTTTTGGAAGCATCAGCAGCCATATGGCAAAGGTGTATGGAGCTTCTCAGAGATCAATCAGGGCTGTGATGAGGAACAAGCTGCTCTGAGGCAAAGGGCTCCTGCCTTAGGTGGGCACAGCTGACCATGGGTTTCTAATCTTGCTTGTGTTAGAGATCTGAGAGGCACTTGGAGAGGCAGAGCAGTTTCTGTCTTGACCATTGCAGATTTTTGAGGCTGAACCATTAATGGGAAATCAGCTCAGTTGTCAGATTCCAGTCTTCCCAACCTCTGGGATTCTGCCCTTACTCCTGAGAAAACTTTTACTAAATTCTTTAATTTGTGCTTACAGGTTGTGTTAAACTGTCAAAAGCAAAGTTATATTTATTTAAAAGGATGTTAAAAGGGCTCCCTTTTCCTGCACGTAGATCCATCGTTTGACTGCTCAAGTTCATCCCAGCAGACCATTTGATCCCGTGTTTTATCACTGCTTGTAAGGATACCAGATGTGATTTTGGGTGCAAATGGTGGCTCAACCCCAAAAGACTAGTGCTCAGATAACCTGTGCCATGAGAGCCAAGCAAGCTGATTGCCATGACATTATCTAAGTTACTGTTACTCTGTAGAAGGACAAAGTACCTTGAGGTGTTGGAGAAGTAGCTGCTGTGCTTCTGTTTCCACTAGACTCATCATCTAGATAAAGAAAACATGGAAAAGGAGAATTAACTCTTGAAGCTGCTACTAATTCTGCTATGGGGAGCTGTTGGGTGTCCAGGGGGTAAAAACCTTTGCTTGCATGAGACTTTTCCTCCAAACAAACATCAAGGTGCCCACCTAGCAAGGGATGCTGCCAGTTCAGAGTGTACCTGAGAGGTGAGCTGGGACAGGTCTGGGGAGGCTGGAGCTCCTCTGGGAAGCTTTGTTTGATAAAGCATGACCTGGCTTTTCTGATACAGCCTTGTCCTGGCTGTGTCCAGCCATGTGCTTTTAGGGAGCTGAACTGAGCTGCTCTTTCAGCAAAGACTCAAAGAAATTCAGTATTGGCTGAATTATTGAATAATCAGCATGGTGTGGACTTAGCCCAGTGTTTCTGATGTCCCCAGTCTTTCTTGGATAAGGAGGGAGGCACAAACAGGTCCTGCATGAGCAAAAGGTTGAGTTTTCCATCCTTACCTTGCACAGTTGAGGCTGGCAGTGTTGTTGGAGTGTCGGTGGTGCTGGAGGGTGTGGCTGTAGTAGTTTGACCCGCAGAGGTGGGACTGGGGCTGGTGGGTGGTGTTGGTTTTACTGCCGGCTCTGCAGGGGAAGTGAAGTGTTACCTCAAAGAGCCCCGCTCAGAAACAGCTTGGAGGAGGGCACAGTTATTACAAAGAGCCCTCAAGAGCCCTGGAGAGTTGGGAATAATCTGCTAGGGAAAGCACAGGCATGGAAACAGCCTCCATGCTGCTGAGACTCAAGGAGCTCTTGTACTTTGGGATTAACTTCTGCTTTTTTTTTTGAGGAGGTGCTGAGCTGGCAGAGCTCAGCAAACACATGGAGAAAGTCGGGTTTTTGCCACTGCTTTTTTCCCAGCTTTGAGAAATGAAGGCATTTTTGTCACTGGGCACTTGAACTGCCTGGAGCTGCCTGGCACCCACGTGGTCATTTGCGTGTTATCTGAAATGCCAACTTTTACGTTTCATTTCACTCAGAATTTCCAAGAATAAATAATTCAGCTCTTGAAGTGGTCTGGAGGCTCCATCATCTGCCCCAACCTGCTACTCCAAGCTGCACAGCAAGAGCATGGTCCAGAGAAAGATGTGGGGGAAAAAGCTTTCAATAATCCCTCTGCAAGGATCATCAGCTGGGAATTCATAGGCAAGTTCCTTGTCTAGACTTCTCTTGGCTTTTCGATAAAATGAGAAAAGGGTGAAAATGGTTTTAAGGTTAGTGTGTTTTTTTTTTTTTCCTTTTATCCAAATGCTTCATCAAAATATTAGAATTTAGGATTAAGCTTCTTCTAAGTTTCTTTTTTTTTT